GAAACGCGATACGGTGCAGTGCCTCTCGGTTTCACCTTGCGTAACATGTCTATAAAATTCGCTTACTCTCGGTCACTTTTGCTGATTTGTATCAAATACCATCGATTAAAAATAGGCGTTACTAACTTTGTTTCTCGCTTCTCAACTCACAACTCTTATCGATATGCCACACCTGTTCCTACAATGCTACATGAGCTGAAATCCGTTCGATCCTTATCTACCCCTCCCATTTTGTGAATCCATAATTGGGAACGAACAGTGGCCCTGAGTCACTGATTATTCCGCCTGACCTGTGTGTGGCTCGTTGGCTCATCGTTCATCCAATCAGTTCACACGTGACTGAATCCGGAGTTAACACATTCGTTGCCCGTTGCGCTAAAGTGCACTCACCTCGTTTTTCACATATTCCGTTCGAACACCATGGTTTTGATCCGTCCTCATTGGTTCCCATCCGACGATATGTTCGATATCGGTCAATGACAAGCTGGGAAACTATGACCACCGATTGGTCGCCTTGAAAGTCTCATGGACATCTGAAATGGGGTTTGTTTACCAGTGATCACCTTGTATTCTATGCGAATGGTAAGCATAGTACTCAACTAATCAGGTGTGTGCGAATTGCAATAACAACACATACGGGAAACTAGAAAGAAAGTCGTGATCTAATTTCTTTTTTACGACTGAAGATTTGCGAGTAATGGAGGATTTGATTGGTTTATATGTTGCATTCGTCATGTAAATGAGGCGTGAGCTGAACAGCTGGGAAGCAGGTCGAAACAGCTGTCCAGTGCTTCTCAGCATTTCAGCTCGCACCTCATTTACACGACGAATTCAAATTAAAAACGAAGATGCTACAAGTGGAAGTTATAATCAAACTATACGCGTTTTCGTTACAGTTGGAAGATCGAAGGGATTAGTCATGCTCGCAGTTTTCATGAGCTCTCTGCTTGGTGAAAAACCGCGGACTTATTGCACATAATCGGGCACATGCACTTCACCAGGTAATATGGGTGGACTGCGCTGTTGAATCATGCACGGGAACTCGCTGTATACGACGTAAGTTCAATAAAACAGATAATTTTTCGGGTTTTTAATCACTAACTTTTCCCAAAGACTGCTGTTTCCGCGCTTTTAACTCAATGCTATGCGATACGGTTCCTATTATATGCTGCCCTCCCAGGGTGTCCTGTTATTAGTTCTGAATTCGTCGTGGACATGGTACATATCATTTTCATAATTCGACGATCTTTGCTCCTTAAATTACTTTCTACTTTTACGTACATACGCAGCCAAGTGAAATAAGCTGTACCAAACAAGAACTGTCCAACGTAAAAACAGCACATAAAGCTGTACCCTCGAGCTTTAGGTGCGTATCGGTAAAATGAGAGATGCTCACCCATTCATGGTGGTTAGTTATTTTATTATTTTTATTAGTTCAACACTTAGCCAATTACAGAGAACTGGCAAATATGCATATGAACAAAAAGAAGTCTGAAGAATGTGTTCATAGGTTGTGTGGGCATGTTACTTCCCGGTTGTCCTGGCCGAGGAAGAGGGATAACCTCGGGGTCCCCACCCGAAACCTTTGTCTAGAAAGCCAGACCGATAAGATAACTGGACGGGGCTCAGAGTCTGCAGTTCATTGGGGACCGGTGATCAGTTCATTGGATCATACATCCTTTGGGCAGGGTCAGACGTCCAAGGTGCCGAATACACCTTGCTGCACAATCGAGCCGGTGACCACTACCGCAACCAGGAAGGTGTGTGTGTGTGTGGTTCGTGCGCCCCCTCATGTTCGGTTTGGCATCGGGGTTTTCAGCCAAATCCCTTAGGTGAAATGCCAATGGTTCACCAACCCGGTTATAGCCCCGGATGTCGGCTTTTCCTCCTCACACTTTGGTGGGAAAACATCTCCGCCACGAGAAGGCAGTGAGTAGAGCTTCCTCATACAGGCTATTTGACACGCTTGGTCATATAGGAGTATTTTACAAGATGTACGGGAATGGTGATCAGTCACGATCCCATACACCCAACCTGACCATAATGATGCTTTCAGAGGTTACATCTTCTCACTCCAAAGATATGTATATACTCGTTATACAAAAAATGATTGAACAGAGTCACGATTTGTATTAACCTCAGGATAACATGTTATGTTTTGTTGATTCTCACGGCAACCTAACGATAATTTCTACCCGGTCTGCTTTTGCCTTGATACTTTTATTTACCCTCAGGCACAAACAACACCACATTCATAGTTTTCTGATTTGTACAGTTCGTAATTAAAGTGCGAAGGTATGAAGCATTTTTTTAATCTGCTCTTTGATACATTACTGATTCCAAAATGGAAATCAATTGAATTCGAGAGTATACGGAAGTGACCATCTCTCTTCTAAACATCATCGATATACAACATCATAGATCTTTTTAGTGGACTGATAAAGTGTTTCAACTGCAAGCTCACTTTCCAGTTTGGAAATATCGATCGATTCACACACAACATCTGGGTTGTACATTCAATCAGCTGTCAGTGAAAACCGATCCACCTACTCATGGACGAAACGACAATATCTGGCGAGTGAAAAAGACCGGGAATACAGTTGCTGAACCAGATCAGATTTTTCATCACTGTAACAAACAGCGCATGGATGTCAGTTTTTTGCAATCACAGGTTAGTTAATAGTCTTGGGTAAAAATAGGGGACCAGGAACATTTTTCAAGGCTACCATAGCCAGTGAATATTCGAACGCGTGGAAGCGACTAAAGATCAGAGTATATTGAGATTTAAAATTTGACAGAGGAAAGTGAAATAATTGATGAAAGCTCACGAACTTTTAATTTAATACGGCTGCTTATTTCTATATAAAATAGCGCTATATAAAATGTGATGTATTAGCCAGTTGATGAGTCACCGAAAACAATTTAGTTCGCTAAACTGTTTTCTTTCACTGATAATAATCATTGTTTTTCTTTGCAAATCCTGGACTGAACCCTGAAGCTAAGTAGTGAGTATAATTACAATCAATCCCTATTTCACGACCAATTCTGATAAGTAACGCTAACTGATTTTCTTGGTCGAGACACTTGTTTTGTTTTTTAGCAATCTATGGGATCCGTACCAATGGGTGCAAAGTCGTCCCCTGTATATCAGCAAACCCGGTTTAAGTAATTGCATTATCACATTGGCTATTGTTTTGTGATCATCAGATTGCTATTTTTTTCTTGAAAGTCGAAATATATTTTGACCAAGATGGTTTCTGAAAGATCCGCCCAAAATCAGCATACTTTAGATGCGATCAGTTTGTCACAATCGCTTCGATGGCACTCCTAGCCGAAGCGATATGTATGAGTTGAGACGGGTGGACTCTTAAGGTGGAACTATAAGCTAGGATTAAGAGGTATTCATTGTTTATTAACTAAAAGTGAACTGCAATTTCTTTTTTGCTAGAGCGTCCATCATACCGTAAGTAGAATCAGCATCCGCCAGTCGAAAAGTCTCTACGGTATTTGCAAAATTCCTTGACCGTTCAACGGTAACCAAATGCAATGTTTCAATCTAATTTCGGTCTGTTGTTTCTGCCGAAAGATATGAGGCACTGGTGATGAGACCCACTTTTCTCTCTCTCTCTTCGAAAAAAGGTGTCAAGAGTGTCTAGAATGAGGCGTTCTAAAGGAAATCGGTTTTGTTCTCGCCAAAAACTGGCAGCACCTATCTGAGCGGGCTACGATCAACAAACGGTCTAGACCGGAACAAATCAATCTGATTCGAATCAGCATTGTCCACACTCTTTGGTGCGTGGATCAACATAGACAGTGGTTATTGGTCTATTTCGAATGAAAAAACTCAACTCGGCATTTACGTTCGACAACTGCCAGTGGTATTCAACTAGAATGCGGTACTGAACACAAATGTAAAGAGCAGGTCGTACAGAACACATTATTCGAAATGTAATAATTAAAAAAGCGGTTATTAGTGATAATGTCATCGACCAGAACGCAATTACAACAAAAATGTCATTCTCTGTGCACTCAGACTATCTATCTATATGTTACACATTTATTTTCACTGGGAAAGGGAACCGCTTTTGATTTTATATGAGAACCGAAAAGGTTGATGTTCAGATGAAACACCGTTTATGCATCGTGAAGTCCCTCCTTCTCCGCACGAAAAAAGTAATAGATTGCTTCTCTAGTGTATTGTACATGTTCCGTTCGGCAGTCGGGAAAATTGCAAACTAGCCGAATAGCAGAATTGATTTAAATAGTTTGCACATAATTTGTTTGTCCAATGCCGATCGGTTAGCGGGTAGAAGACTATAGTTTGATCACATACTTCAATGGACCAAGTTGGGCAAGAATTCATCTCGTTCATCGGTGAATATCTTCTTAGCTTTTCTAGCTTCGTCCTTTTTCCTACTTATTCACAACTTAACTTGGTAACTTTTCTGCTTCATCAACTTCCACTTGACGTTTTACTGCGCCAAGGTATTTAAAAAAAGTCAGTAAAATTAGAACAGAATTCCACTATTTGGGTGTTTGGTGAAATCGCTTATTCGAGAACAATCTATGAGGTCATTAATTTTATGCATTCTGAGATATGAGGACTCTGCAAACAAATCATGCTCCCCTTTGATAAATTAATTGTTATGAATCATTCATTTTGTTAAACATCAAAGTCTGATTAAATTTGACCGATCACATTCATCAGCACATTCCACAATGTTTGCTCTAGATGCACTAATAAGCAGTTTGCTATTTTCAATATTTACTCCATAACTTATACTTCATGTTTCGCGAAATTACGTTGGTCAGATGGACTACGAGTTTTACGTAGAACTATGGTTTATGTTTATTTCTTCCGTGACTCCCTACAAGCTAATCAGGCACAATTCGACTCAGGACAAATCCAACTGCTTATTGTGTCCCTAGTTAAACTGCAGTGAAGTATATCACAGCTAGAAGAAACATATAACTTTGGTTGCATAAACTGCTGAACACGATCAAGTAAATGTGTGTAAAGCGTTCATCTCTGCTAATTGTACGCCACATGCACCACCATCACCACCACCACCACCACCACCAGCAGCAGCAGCAGAAGCAGAAGCAGCAGCAACAACAACACCAACAATATCACCACCGCCGCCGCTGCCGCTGCCACCACCACCACCATCACAACCAACACCAACACCAAGAAGCACAATAATCATCCTATCTCTATCACTCAGAAGTTTCCCTAAGTTTGGTCGTTCAGTATGTTTGTTATCATGCATATACACACATGCCAATAATAAACCATCACAAATCAGCCTTGTGATTGTGCAACTCACTCCGGTCTGGCAGCTGTCGTAGGCACATTTCAGAGCTGTTGTTTATAATTTTGTCAGTTTTACATAACATTCTATAGTGCAAACAATTTGTGTCTTAAATGCATTTTTTTCAATTTGTTACACTGTACCCTGGTTTTGTCATTGCACCAGTTTTGAATGATTCTGTTGCAACTAAATATCCACAACAGATCATGATTCGTTTAACCAGTCAATGTTTATTTTTCCGGTACTAGATTTCGTCGCATTGTGCAACCATCCAAATCATGTTCAGTTGACATAATAAGTACCATCAGAGCGAAAATAGTCATGATTTATTTTCTTATGCTCCGACTGTTTTCCGAAACTGCTTTCCGAATGTCCGAAAATCTAGTCACGTTTATTAATTTTCGCCCCAATGCAACTTAAACATTCGATCTACATATAATGTGTGAGGGTTCGTGCAAAGAGTTGTGATGCTAAAAGCGAGGCACATATCCCTGGACCAAGTGTTCAGCACCTAGTCAATTAGAACTGTGCACGGGATACCACCGCTGTCGCACTCCATGGATTCGCTTATGCAGTTACACTGAACGATACATTAAGATCTGATCTCGCTGAACATGTCCAGGTGGCTGCAAAACGGCCATCCGTGCGAGTCACGTGATCAAATCAGAGGGACCATTAGATGATTGCACGTGTCTCAGAATATTATATCGTTTGTGGATGCCACTTACGGTGTCTGATCGTTCGATTGTTTATGTGCTATCGGATTCCACAAGAGTATGACTTTGTGCGCGAAATATATTTCAACTGTAAAGGAACGAATAACTTATCTTAGGTTTGTCACAGTCAATGACTTTTCCCAATCCTTGAAGATTTTTATTGTTTTTCCAATGGACAATAGGAATATTTTGACATAGTATGTTGGCATTGCATAGCATGAAAGTTCTGGAGGATTTGGTTAAATTAAATTAATTAAATTAAAAGCGGATTTTGTCTTGTAACGAGAAAATGAAACATTAGCAGCATACTGGGAAGTAATGGGCAGATGTTTCGACATAATTGTGTTCTAGCAGTGGTGCGAATCCGCCGATCCCATGGAAGATTTCTGTTGCCCACAACAAGTGCGCAAAAATGGGTTTGTTATACCGTGTACAGGTAAGACGAGAAACTGTTTAATCAGCTGCTCGGTCAAGTGAGCAGTATGCTTATGTTTCACCCATGAGATTCCCCGTCCTCCACCCAGTTGGGTCGATGGATTCGTACTGCTGATGGAACCCGATCAAGCCAAAGCAGTTATCCAAAACCTCCCAGCATTTCAGCTCAGGCCGCACTTGATCCTCACTCGACGAAATCCACTAAATAATTGAGTCCAATCTTTCATGAACCGTATGTAATGTATTGTAATTAAGCAACAATTTTTTTTAAATATTCCCATTGTTCGTTGGATAAACATTTGAAGCAAGCACCTTTCTTAGTTAGATATTATTAGGTTTCTGCCCTATTATACGACCACAGGGTGGTAACTGATGTCAAGGTTCACAACAGGAGACCTAGGTAATAAGTGATTGTACACCGTTGTATTCGACTCATTAAACCGATTACGCAACAAGATTCTTCCATCCTCGTTTGATTTTCTGACCACCAGTTGATTATTTCCGATCGTCGAAAAATAAGAACATCAGGGGATGGCTAACCAGTTTCTTATAAAGTACTTGGTATGGGATCCCATTGAGTATCGAGAGGAAAACCTCGCGTCAATTATATTTTCTATAGCTAGATTTCAGGATTAAACTCCATGGGTATTTTTAGTAACCCAGTAAACTACTCTGTTGAAAACAACCAAACTTGAGTTCTACTCTTAGAACAGTTCATCAGTAGTGAATCTCAATACACCGGATGGTAGTGCTCTCGAGAATTTACGCAAATTTCTATTGTCCGAGCCAGCTCAATTGCTTATCAATTTTGCATAGTCGCTTTCTACAATATCGTTGTGCACAAATACTTGCGAAGGTCTAATGAAAGCGAAACTCGATTATGTAGATTTAATTAATTGATCATAATAGACCGTGTAACTTGAAGGCCAGTCAGTTGGAACTACTCATGAGTAGTGACATGTTAAATGGTAAACGATCATATCAACATTTGATTGCTTAGGATTACCGAAATTTGAGTTCTGTACAAACTTGATTGATTACTGAAGGAAAAAAATAACAAAATTCTGTGGGGTTCTAGGATTTTGAAGGTTATGCGGAAGAATACTTGAATGTCACGATAGAATATAAATAAATGATGTTGTGAGTGGTCTTCGTATTCCCCGCTTCAGTCTTCCACGGTTACATGGATTAACCAAACCCTTCAACTGTTTCCTCTGTGCAAACATTGTGCTAACCCATATATTGACACTTACCTATTGTAAGCTGCTTCTGAATGGTTTCATGCAGTCTGAATTCAGACAATTTACAACAAAAACAGAGAATCGACTGAATAATAGAATGATAATCTCAAGTGATTTTAAACATTATATTGCTTATAATCTGTCGATAAAGCGGCTTCTTGGAGTATTTGTGTTTGTCCTTGTACTAGATGCTAGTTTCCCAAATAGTCCCGTCTCTGTTAGTCTTACGACTCCTGTTCTTTCGTGAATCATTGTTGATCACTCGTCATATTCGAAATCTGCAGCGCGTTTGCTTGATCTTATTTTACCGTGATATTCTGTACGAATCAGTAGAAGCATTTCATCTTAGTTTGAGCAAATGCTCATAGGTAGCTGCCTATTTTGACAGTAGGAAAGTTGTTTCCAGATGAGTCCTACTCGTTCGTTTTCTGTGCTTAGCTATTTGAAGTTGTTTGTCACCACTACATTTTATTCCGGGATGTGTGTCAGTAACGACTGAAATCTTTGGGCCCATCTTGAAAACTAACCGATGTGACACAATTTCCAAGCAACCCCTAGCAGTCAGTGCCGAATTGGCTGTATAGCAACCCCGCGTATCTAGTAGAGTGCAGTTGTCTGTACGTCTCTTCGGTCAACCTGATACTACTCTTATCGACGTATTCCTCCTGCCGGTTCGCTACCCAGGCCGACACGATTGACGCGAAAAGCAAAGAAAACGTAACTAGACACCATTTTCTAAGATATGAACCATCAGTTAGCGTGTGTGGTACTTGTCAGGGAAAACCCAGGCTTATTCTATTGATTTCAGCGGATCTCACCCTCGTCAAATGTAAAGCCAATGTACTGCAGTGCTGTTTGGGCGTGTGTCGAATGACGGTGTCAAAAATGAGTGCATCCTGGAAATTGGTGTAGTAAGCTCAGAGTTGCAGGAGCATTGGTTTTATCCAAAGTTTAGCGAAAAGCACCACGTATGCATGGCGGCTTTCAGTGTCCTTAATCTATTACGACTTATTTACCGCTAAAATAGCAAACGGATATTATATATAATGCGTATAATGAGGAGATGAATATTTCAGACGGTTTCAAAACTCCGTCGCCTCCAGGAGTAGCATCTGGAATTTATCATCTCCAAATAAACAAGAACTATAATCGGGAAGAATAAAACTTGCGGGCATCCTAAGTGACAAATGTGTCTCAAACGTAGTTAAAATAATCAGAGACATGCAAGGCACAGAAAACGAGGTGTTATGCTTACAAAAATAACTCTTCAAATCGCTCAAGTTTCTGATCCGTAAAATATTAATTGAATTTCAAATGACATTTTTGCCTCACAACGAATCAACATCGGTTTCAAATTGCTAAACATTTTCAAACCTACGGAATGACGAGTACACCAACGGTGAGAATGTTGCTGACGGAATTAAAAATTCAATCAGTAATCAATTCTGTTGGAATGAGAAAGATGAAAATCCAAAACTATATTTGGTTATCCAATCAAATTTATTGATTGCAACAGGTTATTCATTTCAAAAGCATCTACTTAATTATGGTTCATCTGAACGACATCATCGATTCTTCTGAGTCGACCGAGCTAGTTGTGCCATCCTTTTCAGATTTCCATCAATTGATTATACGACGTTGTTAAGAAAACAAAAGTGCTGAGAACAGGGAATATGGATATCTAGGTGCTAGATAAAAATATACAGACAATAAAGGAAATTATGTTTGGAACTTGCCGACAATATTGTTCTTAGCTTGTACTATTTATTTTTACCAGAGGTCTGGGGTATCGTCGTCCGTTTGGTCAGCATACCAGCTGATCTAGCTCTGAATCAGTTCCCACGTATCAGAGTTTATCCTGGAAACAAGTTATTTTTTCTGAAACAGCAGGATTTTCAGTCTTTTTCCAAATGACAAAGTTTTCATTGATCGGGATATTCTACCTTTGCCAAGTTAGTATCTATTGTCGCTTTGCTGAACTGAATCACGTGCTATGTTCGGTAACTGGTTATAGAAACGGTAGGCTATCTGAAGGGGTTAAATAAGTGTACCTAAAATATATCAGGGTCAGAATTAAAGACGCACATAAACTGCATTGGTTGTATTGTTCTGGATTTACTTGAAGACAGAACCAAGGTGCATAGTTGGCAGGATTAAACACAAATTGTGAACTTAATATGCTTCGTAACCTTTCTGATTTCCTTTCAGTTTACAAGTTACTGTTACAATTAGATTACATAACAGTTTCGATGCTAATTGTGGATGATGATATAAACGGATATCTGAAAAAGTACATTGCAGGAGATTCAAAAGGATAGTAGAAATATGGAACTTTAGATTAAAAATAATCAAATAACAGTGGCTGTTAAAGATAATACAGTTGGAAACATAAATTCATGCAGTGCTTTTTTTGCCTATTAACTTTTCACTGACGGTTGTTGTCCTCCAACTATTTTACAGTCATAGCTTATGATCTGTTGTTTTTGGGACTTGTCTTTCTATT